TCTTCCAATGATAAATTTTATTTACCAAAATTTTTTCTTTTTCTTTTTCAACATACTCTTACTTTATAATTTCTTATACTTTGATTAAAAAAAAAAAAGTACTACTTAATTTTTTACTTAAAAAAATATTACTTAATTTTTTTACTTACTTAATTTTCTTTCTACTCTAATATTAGATTTATTCCTATTTTGATTATTTTAAGTTTATTGTATAAAAAAAAAAAGACTTTTAATCTCTTTCTTCAAAAGGAATGATTCGAATATACCGGTGGAAAGATTTTACTTTATGGTAACATATGAGAATTCGACCAGTTGGAAGGAACGAATTGAATTAATGCAAAAATGGCGAAGTATTGCTAATGCTTACAAAGATTTGAATGCATCCGTTTGGGAGGCTAATTCCATGTTTGTTGATCAAATGCTTTCATTAAAAACATTAGCTATGCAGGTAAACTTTTTGATTATAATTTTATGATAATTAATGTATTAATTTCTATTCGAATAATAATTAATATGAATAATAATTGAAATGATTGTAATTAATTTTTATCAATTTTATTCCGATATAAAATTTATTCTTCCATTTTAAGACTTGTGTTTGGACATTAATATGCATGACAATAGTATGCGGTTTATTCATCCAAAATCCATTCAGTGTAATTATCGCATCACTTACCATTGCATCCATAAGTTTTGGTAAGTTAAATATAAATTAATTATTTATTTGAAAATAAATCATTGCTTGATCATTTAATCATCGCTTTGATAACAACATATTATCTTTTAATAAAATTGAAATGATGAGATAAGAGAAAAATGTTTAAATAAAATTTTGGAAATTAAAATATGAAATGGATTAAATAGATTCTTTTGTTAAATACTTGATAAAACAAAGTTTGATTAAAAAATAATAAAGTGTAAAATGATATAATAAACAATAGCAGCATTTGAAATTATTTAATTACTAATATATTTCATTTATGCAAATTAAAATTAACGATTAAATGTCTAGCATGATGAAGGAAGGAATCTTTATGGCAATATTCAGAATGATTTTTCGATATATTACTTCAAGTAATGCATCGAAACATTTGATGCCATTCCCTATTGGAACTAATTTAATTTTCCTTTGAATTTTAGCGCAAACTTTCCAATGATAAGAGTGATTGTAGTAGAGTAACCTGAATGATAATATGATTACAATTGGACCGATATGTAGGCTTAATTTGTCACCTGTCAACTTCCTAATTGCAAAATGATTTTGCATCACTTCGGATAAAAGTGATTATTCGAACTTTTGTCAACCATTCTATCCAGTGATAAAGATAATTGATAAAAGAGAAATATTTCTGCTGCTATTGCTAACAAAGATGAAAAGGGGCGCCCTTAGCAGGAAGTGAAACAACAAGTGCTGGGAAATTATTGAAGGCGTGATTGGATTCTTGTCTTGGTGGCATATGGATCTTGACCCGGCAACACTTTGCGCCATATTGATGTGTATTGGAATGTCGGTAGATTTTACCGCTCATGTATCTTATCATCATCAGGTAAGTACTAGTAATAGTAGTATTGTTCCTTAGGGATTTTGATAATGTGCAATTAATAGATGGTTCTAGGTTCATAGATTTTTCCTTAACCTTGGTACCACTTCCCATTTTCCATTTATATACCTATTTCTAAATAGCACTATAAAATATCATAAAATCTCAGTTTGGTGATATTTCAATTATTTAGGTGAAAATTTTAAGAGATACGGATTTTGTTTGATTTATAATTATTACTGTATGTTATAGCTCGGAGAGAAGAAAACAATCAAAGGGTTAAGAATAACAAAGTCACGATTGGAAAATAACAAGGCACGTTTGGAATACACGTTGGAAAGTGTTGCATGGCCAACATTACAAGGTGGAATCAGTACGGTTGCTTGCATAATACCGTTAGCATTTTTACAGGTTCGATATATGAAATTAAAATTATAAATTTAAATACATCCCATCATTGTATGTTCATGTTTTCGTTTATAAAACGTGAAGCTAGGTCATGTACAGGTTTAATCTTCGTTGTATTATTTGGGATGGTTTCAATCCGGTTCGATCCGAACCGATCTGGATCGATCTTGATGAAGTATTGTGAGAGCGAAGACATTGGTTTAAATGAGAATGATCTAGAAATTGAATATAAAGGAAGGAAAAACATGGATTAAATTTCCGTAAATTATACGAAATATTTTAATGTTCAAAAGAGAGATTGTATTTTAAGAAGTATTTAGGAGATACCGAATGATGATTTGGATTAGTTTGGGGGGTAAGAGCGCATAATAAATAGATATTTGATAATTTGAACGATTCATTTGGTAATTTGAAGTAATTTTAGAGGTAATGAATGGACTTCATACTGTTTTATTTCAAAAAAAAAAAAAAAAACTTAAAATTTCAGAATTATATTCCATTGGTATTTGTGAAAACAATATCACTGGTAGTAATTTGGGGTCTATTTCATGGCCTTGTGCTATTGCCAACATTCTTATCATTTATACCTCATTTTCTATTGGAGTTTAATTGTTATCGAGCAATTTTTGGGAAGCATTTATTTGGTGCCACCACCGGTATGGATGCATATGGTAGTAATGGTGGTAGCGGTGATGCTGGTGGTACCAATGGTGGCAGAAAGCAAGAGGATAAAATTGTTCAGGATAAGGAAGATATGAATGCTACTGAGCTACGGATACTAAGGACTAATGAACAATTATCAATTATGGCAGGAACATGACAGAAGGAAGTTTTTTTTTTTTTTTTCTGAATAATGCTAGTGTAATATAAGTCTGGAAAAGTTTCGCAAGAGATGGAATCTTATCATTCTTGATTAATCAATTATTCACAATTGATCACTATTGAATTCTGCTCCTCTTGCCTTTTTTCTTGGTATTGTAATTAATGTTCGCGTGTTTTATATCCTTATTGGTATGAAATAATAACAGGTTAAAGAACATCAGGAAAACTAGGATTCATTTTTATTTTATTAAAAATGTAACACTATCTCTAATCTTTGGTACTTCTTAAACAGACTTTAATTAAATCAGGAAAAAAAATTGTTGATCTTCCACTTTTCCATACGTGTCTCCGATACAACAAACATCAACATCACTTCAGATATCTTATTTTATTATCCAAGCATTAAACGGTTAATTGGAACAGGAAGTCCAAGGAATATCTGTTCATCTTTTTTCTTTGCTTGTTCGATCCGCGATATCATTATGGTGATTTGTGTGAAATAAAGATTTGAAACTATTTCTTTCCTAAGCGATAATCAATAAGTGATAATTTTTCTGAAGACTGTGGTTGCGTAATTCATTTAGAAAGGTGGCCACATTTGGGGAGTATTTGTTCTTCGAGAACTTAGAGATGAGTAATGCTAGTCGTACAGAATGTCGCGACGAGGCACGGTTCATCTCTAGTTCATCTCTGACACATCTCTCCTTAGATTTCTTCGTAAAAGATATCTGGTAGCATCCATCCTCCAAGTTACTAATACAATCACCCTCGACTTCCTAAGTTTTCAACTCAGACTTCGTCCTGCAAGGTGTTCCCGTAAGAGAAACATATACCAATCGGTATACAAGTCATTTTATTTTACGGATCAATTTTTTACGAAATTCGTCCGCTAATGGTATTTTGAGGTTGCGATTTTCAAGTATTACATGTTCGAGCATAGATTATATCCGAGCAAACCCCTTATTGCAGTGATCACAGTACGTGATCCAGAGAAGAAAGCAGACGGAGATACCGATTGCTGTTGCATATTTCAAAAGGTTCCATTTAATGAAAACCGTGGGATACATCGAAGAAAATGAGTCAGGTAGAATTTGCGGCAGATATAAATGTGATATATAATTCTATCAAATCGCGACGGACAGATGTGACGAACGACGAACAGATTTTGATCGACATTTCCGAACTCGATATTCTGAGTTTCTGGAAACTTATGGTAATTTTAGAGAATTTCAAACTAAGATCGAAATCCACAGAGCACAAAACAATTATAACCTTAAAAATTACATTACAGACATCGGAAAATACCGAAACTCCAGAATATTCCAGGGCTCCACTCGAATCTTATCTTGAAACGAATTTGGATTCAGCGAAAGTAGCACGGTTCGCCAAGCCTAAGTAATTATTGTTGGAAGCATGATTGAAAGAAAAACAAAGTGTGGACTTCCTATCTTATTAAGGAGACTAAGTATAATTAATTGTACTAAGGCAAACACACATGACAAGGCCCTTTGAATCCAAAACTTTTCTCCACGACTGTAGGAAAAGGAGACGTAGGGACAATTTGGTACTGCAAAAACTAGCTTTGAGAAGACAACAAAAAATGTTTTGGTAACCTTCGAAAAAAAAGTTCATATAATAAAATTATTTTTAGATTTCGAGTTTTTATAGAGCAAATACAAATCGAATAGTAAGAAAATAACAACTGTCATAGTTATATATCTGTCAGCAATCATCAATTTTGAACTGATTCCCAGTAAACACACGCAAAAAAAAAACAAAACTTCCAAGAGAAAAAATCATAAAACAACTCAAAAATCCAACCTGAAAGCACATTTCTCTCTGATCAAAACGACGATACAGGTAATGAAACGAATTTTC